GTCGTGTTTCCTACATGCTCGCAAAACAAGGCATCAAGGCTCACCTGGTTACCAGGGGAGTCAACCACTGTGCTCGGAACTGGAGCATACCCACGCTCCTGCTCAACCAAAGAAATGCTCTCGCGAATGACCTTCCGAATCAGACCATCGTCCACCGGCTCCCGAAATTGATAGATCCGCCCATGCAACCCCTGGGATATCCAAGGCGTTGGCCTAGCCCCCGAAGCTTGATGGGGCCTTCGACCCCTTGCAGCCGATCTTTTCAATGTAGAGGTCGTCGTCTGGAGTATACAGAACAACTTCCTCCCCGCCAATGACCAGTCCCACTAGATTGTCGTGCCACACATGATCATCAGTGTACCAGAGGAGAATTCGCTGTCCTGCCCTCAGGTCCCGATAGTACCCCACCTCCACGTCGCCCATGCCCTGGAGATCCAGCCTGACGTTCGAGCTCATGAGTCGGCCGTCGCTTAAAACAGTACGTGCAAACGCACAAATTCAGCAAAACTCCTGCTGCAAACGATCCGATAGGAATCCAAAAGCACACCTCTTTCGTAGCAGCCTCCTCTATGTCCGAGCCAGAGCAAACACAAGTGCACTCAGTCTTGACAGTGGCGACTGGCTCAAGGAAAGCAGGGCTATGTCTCAGCTCACGGATGGTAAAAGCCGGGAGTTGTAAGACCAGGGCCTGCCAGTACTTTATCATACTAACTCACCTGTGAGCCCAAAAAACTTCAGGAAGCAGCGACATCGTTGATGTTGCATTGTCATTCTCGTGTTACACACTAACATGACACATGATGGACAACCATGAAACATGATGAACAATCCTTCTCTTTCCTTCATTGCTTCGGCGGAGTTCCCACAAAAATGTCCCGAGCAAAAACTGGATTTGGCGCTGGAATTCGGCGACGCTCCACTCGAGAGCTGAGTTCCGAACCAGAAGGTGAGGAGGCTCCACTCCACAGCTGGATTTCAGGCTAGAATTCGAGGACGCTCCACGCGAGAGCTCGATTTCCCGCAAAGTGGATCAACAAATCAAGCAAGGATCAATGAGGTGTGAGAAAGCTTCGTGAGAGAACTCTATATCGCGGACTTAATTTCTTTTTGATGTTTATTTAATTGTTCTGATCCTAATTGTATTTCTGTCTGATCCCCATTTAGCTTTTTGATCCTTATCCCGATCGAAAATTGCCTGAAAAGCTACATGTTCCCGAGCGCGATTGCAGTCCAGCATTTCCTCCACTTTGCGTCGCCGAATTTTGCCGTTGGGCGACATGTCCGTAAAGCTTTGCGAACCATTTAACTCCGGGCAACCGTCCTGGACACACCATTCCCCTAGTGCCTCAGTACACGCATCTCGCGTGAAAAATGACAAGACCTATCTAAACCCATGTTCTTTGGAGCTCACGCGCACGCAAAACCACATGGTCAGGTTCATTTGGGACATTCCCGCCTAGCACTGGCTGCTCACGCAGAGGCGAAAAAGCATTCAAACCAGTATTCCGAACCGCTCAAGACGTTAGCTTCTTACCTGTGCATGGGCAGGCATCCGGTATACGGCACCGAACAGTGCGACCAAGACCCAGTTCTTTAAATAGAGTCTGACGATCCGAAACATGCATTTGCAATACTCAAACGAGCTCACTCTGACATGACAACGGGTTTCAAGGAAGACTCCAAGGCGTTAGGCAGCTACGTCAGATTGCTCGTATTACAAAACACATCGGAAGACTTCAGCGACGCAAGAGGACAAGGACAGTCGTTGAAAAAACTTAATCTCCATGCGCTTGCTGTGCTGAGACACAGGCCTTTGAACGACCGGCCAAATCTGCCTGGCGCGCGGCATGCCAAGCCAAGTCCTCTGGCAATCAAGGTTGAACGCCAGCGATTACACAAGGGAAGCAGCTGTTTAAATGCGTGGCAGGTCCCTCAAGAGTAAGACCACAGCTTTCGAGAGCCCTTCCATGGCTGCATCTTCGGTGTAAGTAAGTCCCACCTGCTGGCCTTCAGACCGCATGGGGCACGTGCACTTTTTGCGGCTACAAGCTACCACTTCTCGCCGGCGCACACACCCGCAGCAAAGCCATGCGCAGAGCTACAGTCTCAGCGCAGGCAGCTTGGGTGCCACAAGCTACTGCTATTGCCACTCTCGCAAGATTCAGCTGAGGTTGATGCGGCAAGCTGCGGCTGGCAATCCATCAAGGATTGCATACTGAGTCCGAGTGGAACAGTCTCGTGGCTCTCTGACTTGCGGCGCTTGCTGTCAAAATGTGAACAGAATGAATGAAGACGTTCGTAGAGCTATGCAGCACCAAGCTCTCCCTCCTACAGCTTCGACTGCAAAGGCCAGCATACAAGGATGGCTTGCAAGGACAGTACAAGGTCAGCTAGTTGCAGGAAGGCTGGAAAATGCTTTTTTATGCCTGACACATGACTTGTCTGGCGAAGAGCTGTGATTTCTTTTGCCAAAGCACGAGGCCTTCAGCTGCGCATGCTGGAATATCTACGGCCCGTCGTTGTGGCTGCACTCTTGCGCAAGAAACTTGTACAGAGCTGCTGTGGGACCGTGTTTTTGTCAGCCTGCGCGAAAGGGCAATAACCTTCATAGAGGCAGTCGTCATGCCCCTGTGGCACTTGTGGCTCTCGCTGCTCACTGGTGAAGTTTGGAAACTTGGCCAGTCAAGACCTTCCCTTAGCATCTTCGACCCGGTGATGAGCTTCAAGCTGCATCGGGGCACTAGCTACCACAGAAACCAAGAAAAGGAGACGTCCGACCATCCACAAATCACTCCTCAACTCGCAAGACTTTGGCAAGTCAACAGGGACCTGCCTCCCAAGCACGAAAACACACAGAATCACATAAGGAGTCGCAAACAGTTCACATGCGTCCACATGATTCATGCATCCCCATCGAATCAAGATTTCCTACCCGTGACTTGCGCATAAAGCTAATCGAGTCTCAACATCCAATCCTTTTCGGCGCTGCGGCAGCGTGCGGATGCGTCGTAATGCTGCGCATTGCAGCGCGAGGGACATTTGGAAGCATTTGGCACATGAATTCGATGCACAAGGGCCAGTGGCTATGGCCAAACCCTTGCCAAAAAACAAAACTCTGAGCCAGTCACCCCTTCAAAGTCGATGCCTAGCGGATCGTTTTCAGAATCGTGTTTGTTGTCTGGCTGGTGACAGCCCGCTTCTCAACACCTGCGGGAGAAAACACACGCCAAAAGCGCAGCGTTTCATCGGCAGATGATGAGCACACAAGCGAGCCATCAGGACTCTGTGCCAGCCCTAGCAACCGCCCTTCGTGCCCTTCCAAGTCACCAACCTTGACCAGTGACGGATACTTCCAAAGTGATAGTTGATTCCTCGAGTACCCATGAGCAGTGAGAAGCTCTCGCTCATGTTGGCCCCAGATTATCCCAGTGACTTGACTCTCGGCATTTGTAGACATCAACATTCGACCACTGGAGGCATTCCACAAGCAAACTTGGCGGTCTGCAGACCCTCCACCAGTAGCCAGAACATGTCTTTGCCATGGGCACCAGCGAAGGGCTTTAACGGCTGCTTGGTGCTCTGTGAAGGTGTGCAGCGGGCTGCAGGAAGTTGGAGTCTCCCAAATGCATACTAGGTTGTCATTGCCTCCTGAGGCAAGCATTCCTTCGCAGTTGTAGTCCAGGCCACAGACCAAGTCTGAATGGGAGGTCATTCGGCTGATGAGGTGTTCTCTCACTCGGACATCATGTTGATGGATTTCTGCATCTGCACAACCACTGCTCAGCATGTGGGAATGCCAGGCAAGAGCTCCGACTCGGCCGGAGTGTCCTCGGAGATTTCGCAGCTGGCGTTGAGCTGCGGCATCCCAGATTTGTACTTCACCTGACGATGCACCAACACTCAAGTGACCTCCTGCCTCCGTCCAGCGGAGAGTGGTCACGGAGCCGCTGGGCAGTTGCAGCAGTTTCTGAGTGCTTCCGGTAGCTGCATGAAAAAGGAAAACCATGTCAGACAGTGCAACTGCCACTACATTCTGCGAAGACCAGTCAATCGGATGACTGTAGAAGTCATCCAGCATGCCTGGAGCATCCAACACTTTGGCAGCGCTTTGAGGAAGCTGTCTGCAAGTCCTAGCAGCACTTCTGGTACCATCCCGGTTGCTGCTATACAGAACACGCAGTTCGTTCAGACTTGCCTCTTGTTTCATTGGTTTATGCTGGTAGCTCAGGATTTTGACGTTGCTCAGAGCCTCCTTTCCGAGCACGTTTTGCGAAAGGACCTCGTGATATTCATTCTGCGGCGCCCAGTTTTCATCTCTTTCCAACTTCAATTGTCTAACTTCGGTACAGGAACCTCGCGACGGTATGAGGCGGTCTGACATGCACACATCAGCAGCACGGCCGCCAGCCCCAGTCCCGTCATCCATATCTGTAGAGTCGGAGTGTCTGAGCGCCATCTAACAAGCTCTGAAACAAACAGGCTACCAGATCATGCTTAGCCAAATGGCTCCCCCGAGCAGCATCCGGATCTTGCAAGACGCGCAGAAAACACGACCCATCACATGACTCATCCCATTGCTTTGTCTTGCCAGGCCTTCACTCTGATGCAGGTCCTGCAGGTGGACGAGTTATGACACCAGGTTCTCGCTCTATGATGACCTTGGTTCTGCTCTGAGAAGGCGCATCTGCCATGTCATCCGCATGCACAGGTTCCACCCAGCAGCAGGTCCAGTACTGCGTCTCCATTCAGCAACTGCGGCCGCGAAGGCTTTTCGTTCAGCCTCCTCTGCCTCTCTCAAATTGGCCCTCGCCTGTGTCAGCGCCTCGTGTCAAGAAGATGAAACACTGACTTGCAGCTGACATGTCCGTCTCCTGAGGAAGGGACATCATTGCTGTAACGCATGCCACCTGTGCTCATGACTGTACCTCGGGCTTGCTTCATCCTACAGACAACCTGCAAGCCTGCGATCGCCACAAACAAGCTCCGACGGAACTTCGAGGTGCGCTCAATTGCCTTTTGAAGGCAAGTCCTGGCACTTGCACTTTCGACATTGTTGATGCCCACCGCTCCACCACCTCATCAGAACATCTTTGTGTCACCACCCTTGTCGACTTCTGGCGGGTTTTCTGTTCTGGCGGCTTGGTTGCACGTATCCCGGGAACACTGCTTTGTGGGAGCATTGCTTCGTAGACGCACGAACACCATGTAAAACGAACCCGAGCAGACTCCCAAACTAGAATCATGACTTACTAGAACCTTGCCGAATCACCGATGCGCTGCAACCATCGCGTGAGGGAGGCCGGGGTGGACGTATCCTGTGCTGCCCATCTCTAACAGAGGCAAGCAACTTGCAAACACTGGAGCAACCGCAGCAAAGGGTCAGAAAGCTGCCGGGCCAGTGCTTCATCACTCAGGTCGCAATGGGTGAAAACTAGCAAAGTGTGACCTCAGGAATGAATGCAACGTCAAAGGTGACGCCGATCTTCCGGAATCTTTCGGAGCTTCTTATTATTGAGGAATGCAAATGGCCGTCGCCAGCTACTTTGGAACGACTCGCGCCAGCCCCATTCCGTGCAAGGCATGCATGTCATTTTCGCACAATCTCTTCAGAATTCAAACGGTATCACCAGACCTGCCAGACATTCTCGAAGCTTCTAAGAGTCTTATACAAAATAACAAACACTTTGCCAAAAATCTGCGGGAAACGCAGGGCCACCTCGCCGCAATTTGCGGCAAATGCAGCGAGGGCTTCATCATGCTCCGGTTTGAAGCGACCCCATCGCACCACGAAGAGGAAGACACTGATTCCTTTCAGGTTTCTGGTGCGCCGTAGTTGCTGGCTTTCCCTGTTCTTAAACCCTACTGCCAGATTTTGGTTGCCTCGCCTTCAGCTGCTGCCTCTGCAAAAGTAGAAAATCGATCCAGGACCTCCAGATGTGTCTGAAGCTGATCAGCTGCACATGTGGAAAAGTGACACGCAGTCGAAAGCACAGAACACACCCTCCGCGCAAGAGTGTCTTACCACTGGCCTAGCTCCATTCCAGCACTGCAAGGAGACTGACTAGTGACCAGTAGCACCGAAACTCTGGAAATCAAACTCCCACGCATAGTGGTCCAGTGGCTCACTTATTGGAAAACCAATCTGCAACTGCAACAGCGATCCAGTCCAAACATGTGGCATTCAACCTTGGTGTAGTAATGTGACTGTCACATGCTGACTCGAAAGCCACAGGACTAGCACCGGACTGGAGCTATTGTACAAAGAAGGAAAGTCGAGATATGACACCTCCCGACCTAGCTTCGAAAAAAGCAGCCGACGTTGGTAAAGCTTCTGAAGGACTGGGCCCCTTCAAATGACAAAAGCCTGGCCCGGGCTGAACCCAAATAGAGCGCGTGCGCTTGGGTCCCGAAATGAAAAGCAGGCAGTCAGACCAGCCAGACAGACAGTCAGACAGTGAGACTCAAAAGGCAGACAGTCAGACGCGACAGGCAGACAATCAGACAGTCAGACGTGAAAGACAGACAGTCAGACGCAACAGGCCGACAGTCAGACACGCAAGGCAGACAGTCAGACGGAAAAGGTAGACAGTCAGACAGCGTATCGGTAGAAGGATTTTGCAGGTCCCTGAGTAGGGTCCCGCAGGGACCTAAAAAAAAGAATTCTAGCTTTCAGGATTTTAGTATGAGTGCCGGCTACCGGGTATTGATTGTCTGACGTTCTAATTGTCTGATTGTCTGAGCGTCGGAGTATCTGACTGTCTCACTGTCTGCCTGACTGTCTCATTGTCTGACTGTCTGCCGCGACATCAATCCAAAGCGAGAGCACCCCATTTGTCGCGTTTCGCCCATGTCGCGCTGCAATGCTCTCAAGAGCGTTGCAGACACAGGCGGGATGGTAAAGCATTTGTACGGAAGGATCACGAGTGGACTGTGAATGCTAATGTTTGGGTTGGAAACGGATTCGCGCACCAAAAAAACAGATTCGCGCACCAAAACAGCGGATTCGCGCACTATGCGAAACACGGGATTCGCGCACTAAGGCGGGCGGATTCGCGCACTAACCCGTCGGATTCGCGCACCAAGGATTCGCGCACCAAAGATTCGCGCACTAGCACGAGATTCGCGCACCAAAACGAGCAGATTCGCGCAACAAGCGTACCTATTTCGCGCACCAAGCGGACATACTGCACAAGCCTGAAGAATTACCTATACCACTTGAAGCTTCTTTTTGGTGCCCTCTACCATACTTATACAAGGAACCTAAAAGCCTAAACCTTAAATCCTTTTTTGAACCCAGGCTCGTGATGTTAGCTGGCTCAACAGGACTCCAAACCTTAAATCCTAAACCCCAAACTCCAAACCAGGAACCCTAAACCATAAATCCCAAACCTAAACCCTAAAAGCCCGAAGCCCGAACCCCAAACCCTAAACCCTAAACCCCAAACTCTAAACCCTATACCCTGGACAAACCCTAAACCCCAAACCCTAAACCGTAAACCCTAAGCCCTAAACCAGCCCTGGACCCTAAACCCTAAACCGCAAGCCCTAAATCCTGAACCCTAAGAAGACCCTAAGCCCTAAGCCTGAACCAACCCTGAACCCTAGACCTTAAACCCTGCGGCCTAACCCCTGAGAAAACCCTAAGCCCTCAACCCTGCATCCTAAACCCTGAACCCTATAAGGAAGCCCTGAGCCATACACCAACACCCTACCCCAAACCCTAGACCTGAGCCCTAAACCCTAAGCACTAAACCAACCCTGAACCCTAAAAAACCCTGAACCCTAAATCCCAAGAAAGCCCTAAGGCCTCAAGCAACCCTGAACCCTGAAACCCCAAACACTAAACCCTAAACCGTAAGAAGGCCTGAGCCCTAAACCAACCCCAAACCCCAAACCCTAAACCGGAAACCCTAAGCCCCGGACCAACTCTGAACCCTAAACCACAGCTCCTTTTGGTGCTTGAATCGGCTCCTTTTGGTGCTTGAATCGGCTTCTTTGGTGTTTGAATCCGGTCGTTTTCGTGCTTGAATCGGGCTTTTTTAGTGCGTGAATCGTTGGTGCGTGAATCGGGTGGTGCGTGAATCGTTGGTGCGTGAATCCTTGGTGCGAGAATCTTTGGTGCTTGAATCGTAGT